CAGTGGATGGTAACCGAAATATGTGGATCAGGCTCCGAGACGAAAGCAAGCAACGACGCCTCAGCAGCACAAATTCTCTCGATTTCTTTGACATGCAATTCCATAGTGAAACGCCCGCTTTGATTCCAGAAGAAAACAACACTGATTCAAGCATTAAGGAAGAACAAGGAAAAAGCAATTAAATCTACTGAAAGAAAGTGCCATTCTGTGCTGTGGCTTAACACCCCATTGGTTGTTGTATACTCCCTTACTTAGTTTACTGCCATTCCATGCTGTGGTTTTACCCACTTGATGACTGACTGATGTAGGGTAAATGATATAGACGGGGCAATGCTTGCTTTATAACCCATGTTTAGAGCTTGTTATTCACTGCCCCCAACAATCGTCAGTCGATTCAATTCTACGGAGAACTCAACCCTACGACGTGCATGCAAGGGATTGTTCTTAATGATAATCTGTTCAAACTGCCAACAACAATTAGCAGACAGCATCGCTTCTTCTAGCCATCCACAGAGAGTGGATTTGGATTCATCGGCCGATGGTCTTACAACTGCCGTACGACACATCGCGTGTTATAGGTATCCAATATCATCAAGATGTGTACAAAATCCAGAGCACCAAAATTCAGTGCACCTTTCTCATTGGTCAGTTTAATTGATGCTGTGGAAAAGCCCATTATCACTGTCTTAAGTAACCTGGAAAGTAAAATGATAAAACATGGGATTTATATACACGTAGTTGTATATTGTTCAATAAAATGCAAAGACATATAATAACAATAATATGAAAATTTGTAATTATTTAGATACACTGTGATGGATGTAGGTGATTTGGGGTTTTGTTTGTACTGGTGCTGATAATAGTGATGATGATAGTGGTGGTTATGGTGGTGTTGATTACATTATTTTATATTTCAGTTTTTTTCATTTGTATTTATTTAGATTATGATGGATGCTATTTTTATGGTTGTGATCATTATCATTGTCACCATGAAGGTGATGTCATCATCATCATCATTATCATCACCATCATATTGATAGTAGTTAGATAGGTGCTAATGATAGGGCCAAGTAAAAAAAAAATTATTGTGTTGGCCACACCTAGCTGACCCAAATGTTCGAAATTGAGGTTCGGAATTTTTTTTTTTTTTTAACAACAGCAAAGATATTTTTTAATGAGCTAAAAAGGCTGGATATAGGCATATCTTGCTGGATGGTAGGCGATGTGGCAGTGTTGCGATTGTTTTTCTTTTGATTTAAAAGTGGTCTTTGTTGTATTTTTGAGTATTTTCTGTGTTTTAGGCATACAGTAAAAGAAAAGAATAGAATACCACACAGCCTGATACTCAGATGCAAAACTCAGTGAGCTGGAGGGGCGGAGCCTTCAATTTGAAGTTAGCTCCTTAATAAGAGGAAGTAGTAAACACATTATTGGTCCAAAAAAAAGAAAAGACTTTTCCTACCGACCTACCCTTTTTTTGGATTTTCCCAAAATGTGGCCAGCACAGGATTTTTTTTTTCTTTTGGCATAGTGGTAGTGGTGATGATTATGAAGGTGTTGGTTGCTAAGATGATGCTGATGTAATCCAGTACTATATTCTCCTCAACCAGGTTCTTAGGCAGGTCGCCCTCTATTTAAAGATCACCTCTAATTCTGTGGTACCTAATTAGCAAATGTCTGTTACAGTATCTTTATTATTATCTATATTATTGGAGACCAAGGTTGTTAAAGGCCATGGAAACCCCAGTCCCAAAAGTGGTCTTTGATTGGAAATATTCTTATTCAGGTCTCCCTCCAATTAAATACCACCTCAAATTAGCAGACAACTTTTTTGTGGTCCCAAATTAACAAATGTCCGTTACAGTATCTTTATTATTCTATTATTATTATTATTGAGACCATGGAATCCCCGGTCTCAAAAATAGTCGTTAATTGGAGGGAGACCTAAGATTCAGTATTGTGTTGCACACTAATTGCCCACTCCTTTTTTCATATACCTCATTTATTTTTGTTTTTAAAAAGATAATTTAAATTACGATTGTATGATACAGAAAATGTTCTTAGTGTTAGCAACAAGCAAAAATATTTATCAAAAAGTTTTTATATAGTTTGTTTATGTTTGTTATCCATATATAATATAAACATCCTTAAATTTATATTGCTATAATTGGCTGTATCAGCATTATTCAATTTTAATTCATGCATGTCAAGTTTATTTCTATATATCATTACACAAAGGTTAATAAAGTTATGAGTTAAGCCCTTCCCAGACTGCATGTGACATGCCTATATATGGTAATAATGACATTACATCTTGACTATATATGGGCATACAATAGCTTTTTGTCGTACTTCAAAAGTTCTCTGTGTTTGTACAGTGTAGCACATATATGCATCATAAATGCAAGCATGTAAATCATCTAAATGTGTATTGTCAAAGGTTATTACATAGGTGTAGCATTACAATTATATCGAAGGAAATATAACATGTAATATAAAATTATTTATTAATATGTTACATGATAATGGTGTATCATGTGATATTTAGTTATTTATTATATCTTTATTAGATAAGCATTAATTATTTATTGTTTAAGTAAGATGTATTGTATTTTCCTTTTATATTCTTAGTTTACTGTATTTTATTTTATTAATGATTTTTTAAAGAATTTGATACCTATTTCCTGTATAATAATTTTATTGAATGTATGAAAATCCATGGTAATATGTATATTATGAGTATTTTGTAAGTTTATTTTTTAATAAGTTTTCACAAAGAATGACTTGAATTAGATCATACAATTGCATCAGTTGTCAATCTGCTTCTGTGGATGATAACTTTTGTAGTGTATTGGTGTTAATTTTTTTGTTGACTGATAATTAACTGTCGAAATAGCTGTGTATATTATATTTGATAAATGCAATATACAAGCCATATCATCAGCATTTAATTGCAAATGTTCCATGTTCAATTGAATGTAGTCATTGTTGAAAAGAATGTAATGCATGGTGTTTGTATACATGGTCCATGTTCAGTTGAACATGGTGTAAACCATGTTTTATTGATTGTATGGTCTAAGTGAATACCCGATCCATGTTCAATTTAATATTTGGCTCATTAGTAACTTCATTGAGGTATACCTCCATGGTAGCTTACAATGTGTGTTTTTTAATACATTGTCCATGTTTTATTAAATCCATGGTCCATTTTTAATTCACTATATTTCGTGTTCAATTGAATATGGTCCTTGTTTAATTTAAGTAGATGGTAGTCTCTTTAATTGAATACATTGAATATGATTCAATTTAATGCGTTGTGTGTGTTAAGTTGAGTACGGTACATTATTTTCCAGTGAATGTATGGTTAAATAATGCATGGTCCATGTTAAATAATGCATGGTCCATGTTAAATAAAGCATGGTTCATGTAAAAAAAACGCATGGTCCATTTTAGATAATGTATGGTCTATGTTAAAGTTATTTGAAATCAAATTGAATGCATGGTCAAATTTAAATGTGTCAGTAGTAAGTAAACCATTTTCTTTATTATTATTGCGGGCTGTGGTATATTGCTTAATGAAATATTTTAAATGACTTATAAATAACATGGAGATTAATTTGTTAATTTTTTTTGTACATAGGTATTTTTCCCCTAAATAAAAATCACTTTATATGAATGTAACTTGCATCTATATATTTCTAATAGTATTGGTATGTGTTACTTTTTTGGTATTCTACTGGTGATTGTACAGAAGACTTAAAAAGAACTGCCCTGAATTTTTTGGCCTGTTGTTACATGGACTTCCATTCTGTCCATTGTAGGTGGTTTAATTGCTGTTTGCTGCTGTTCCTGAAGACAGAGATGTAGTAAAAAAAAACACTATGTTTATTCTTACAATAAATAATTCTAAGAGCAAAGGACAACAACTGAAATTTATCTTCAGCTGTGTAGCTATGTTCTTATGATAATTTCAGTATTCTATTTTATTCAAATTATCAAGAAGGGTGAAATTAATACTGACATAAATTCTCAATTTATTTATCACCAAATTAAATAAATTTATTTTATGTATAGTGATAGAAATAATAATAATAATAATAGTTGACAATATAATTTAAACAATCACAGTAATCTGAAAATAATAATTCTAACAGTATTATTTACAAGCGAAAAATATT